ACACAAGAGGCAGCCAAAGGTTTGTTTCCCCTGGGGTGGCTCTGCTGACTGACTTTGTCCTCTAAACAGCAATCACATTGATTTTCATGTCTTGTCCAACTTGGAGGGCATGGCCTAAAGACTTTCTCTGTGGTTTCTTCCTCTACCATAGGAGGAACCTAGGTGAGAAATGGCCCCACTATTTAGCTGCATCCTCTCAACCATGGCCTGTTTGTTGCTGGAAGGCATACTCTGCTAATATAGTGATGGTGGTACACTGAGAGGCACCCTGGTGGCCTAAAACAGTGACCCCACCTTGATAAGTATGTAACTTGTTATCAGCAAGCGACATCGAAGTTCCATTAGTAATTGGACTGCATGCACTTGCCATCAAGGGCAGAGGCCATGTAATTGGCTCCTGTGGGGAGACCAGCAAGATTCAGCAGAGTCAGGAGTTTACCTGAGGGATGTTCCCAGGGACCGCTCCTGAGGTCATCCCAGCAGAAATCTAATGGCCTGATGAGATGTGCTGATCCCCCTCATCGTTCTGTAGCTCTAGAGATAGCACTCAAATCATTTGAGGAATTTGAGGAAGCCAGAAGAGACCTGCCAAAGGTTGACCTTCTCAAGAATTCATTGATTTTGCTGGGGAGAACGTCAGAACCCAATGTCTGGATGCTGGGGGCTCCTACCCCTTCTGTCTGTTGTCCACAATAAGCCTCTGAGCAGATGTTTTGAATTTATACTAATGTTGCCCAATAAGATTCTTCTGTTCCCACTATTAGGAAAATTGGCCTTCACTGGAAATAAAAATATTAATATATTAGGCCTGGAAGCACAGAGTACGTCTATAGTTAATGAGCACAGTGCCAGTTTCTCTACTAGCTTCCTCCCATCATGGAGACATTCTAATCAGATCTCAAAATCTCATGGATCAGTATCATCTTGGGGTGTATTAAAACTCCCAGAGCATCAGATTTGGTAGGTTTGAGGCAGAACCTAAAAATATGCATTTTTAAATAAGTTTCTAAGTGATTCTAATGCTGCTTGTCTAGGGCCTAAACTTTGAGGACCAGTGTTCTAAGTATTTTGAAATATCAGTAATATGAAAATAGGCATTTGGTGATTTCTTCAATGACTTGCAAGTCTGCTTTTAGATTAGAACCCCGATGGGGAGTTGGTGATGTCCAAGAAAGTTGGAGGGTCCATACATTTTTAAAACTATTGCCACATCTAGTTTTGTTGGCCTGTATCTGGCCAGCTGTTTTGGAGTTGGATGGTTCTAATGGATGAAGTTACCATGGTAGTGTTCTTCCTCACAGAGGAAGGCCCCAGAGGCTAAACCTATACAAGTGACCGGGTGTTTCTCATAGCTTTTCCCATGAGATGCTACACAGCTCTTTTCCATCATTCCTGCTTGGGATTTCCAGGAAGCTGGAATAGTCAGGAGACTCCAGGTCCCCTCTTGATCCAGCCCTATAAGTAAAATGAACTTCCTTTGTCAATCCAGTGTGCAGCTTGCTTAGAGCCATGGATTAGATGAAGCTAATTTGGGTATGAGGTAGAAGTAGGTTGTCAGGAGCACCCCAAGGCTATAGGGAAGGTGCTTTCTGCTCCCTTAATTAGCAGCTCTTTCCTCTTGGCATTCCCAGCTAGAGAGGATACGCCCCTCCTGCAACATTTACCATGAAGGTCATTACCTCTATGGATTCAGGGCATGGCAGAGATGTCTGTGGCACGTGACTGCTGTTGAATCCCTTTGTTAGCATCTTCCCAGGATTCTCCTTGAAGACCAGACAGATATCCTGGTGTTCTTCCCTTAGGGTGTTACACACATGGTGTCCAGGTGGCCACAGCTCACCAAAGGACAATTCAAGGTATGGCTCTCAGACCTTATGTGATCTGAGCTCTGGTTTCTATGGTCCCCTTCTTTCTTGTGTGTATTTCTGCTATAGAGATAGGGTGATTACAAGACACATGCTCGAAAAATCAGTGATCAACCTTCAAAGAGGGAGCTATTGAAGAATTTCTCTGGGATAATTTTATGATCATATTGGACCAGGTACTAAACTACTGATTACCTAAGTCTGCCTAAGAATGGAGGTGGGAGTCTTGGGACAGAGACAGGCCAGGCACTGGACAGTATATTTCCTTGTGATTCATTAGTTATAATTTGAATTTAGGAAATCTTATTCCAAGTTTCTGGGGAATATAATTTAAGAATTAAATGAGACTTTGCATCTCTTCTGGTGGTAGGAATTATCCTTTTTTGAATGGATCAGAAAGACAAAAGAGAACAGATTCCTAAACACAAAGTATCCAACTCAGTGGATCCAGAGAGAAGAGACAGACATTTAACAAGACTGTATGTGCCATACGCTTACCACACATTCCTACTTGATCCTTGGAACATCCAACTAGGACTTTTTAGGCCTATTTATAAGTGAGAAAGCTTGAGTTTCTAGAAGTAAAGAAATAAAGTGACCCACCCACCCCATATCACTGAGCTGGTTAGAGGGCACTTTCCATGTCACCTCTTGGAAATATTGTTTCTTCATTAGATTGTTTTCTTCCTGCCAAATTATAGAACCTTCCTTTTTTAAGGAATATATGTGTTCTGGCTTGAAACAATTTTATGAGCCCATCATTATGCCTTGGTATTCAGATTATCAAAATGTAGCACCTGCCCCTATATAGTTTTTAAAATATAACATTTTAAAAATTAAAGTTTAAAAGATGTACACAAAAGTAGGAAGGTTGTACATGTTCCATTTAACGACTTTTTATGAACTGAACACACCTGTACAACCACACCCAGATTAAGAAATAGGAACCCAGTTGTATTCATTCTTAAGGTTCATTTGGTTTTGCCAATTCGAACCAGACGTTCAAATTTTATTATAACTGATTGATGATAATATTTATGCCATCCCAACTCTATCATGGCAATATTTGAAGATACCCCAAAAACTGGATCAGCTAGTCCTTGATACACCCTTACAAATGGCTTAGGACTTCAGCAGGGATGGGACTCCCCCAAGAACACTCCTGAGAGTGTTAATATCTGAAGTCATGGGATTTTATAGCTTATCTCACAAGTGAATCTCCTGGAAGTTGAAGGGCTTGCCTGCAGCCTCAGAGCAAGAATGCCAGGCCAGCAGACAGCTTTCTTATGGCCATGCATACGCATCTACATGCACATGAGCACACAAATTCCTGCTCTCTGAGAAGTCCCACTGAAACGGGACCTGATCAGGAAGGAAGCCACAGGCGAGAGGGCATGTGCAGGGCTGGTGAAGTCATGGCCCAGGATCACCCTACAGGGATGCTGCCCACCAGGGTAGGGTTCCATTGCACTCCCCACACCCAGTTGCTCTCTGCCCTCAAGCAGGCCAGTGGCAAAGAGACAGTTCTCACTCAGAAGTGCATGCTGGAAAAACTGGTAAAATCAAAGCCCGTCTGTGACCAAAATGTGTTGTGAGCAAGCGCCCTTGCCAGCAGGGCCTGTATTCTACCTGGACCGCAAAGACTGAGGTCCTAAGCCATCTCTGCTTCTCTTTCCCCAGCCACCATTCCCCAGGCAGACCTCCAGGGTTGTGATACTCAGTTCCATCCCACCTGGCGGAGACCTGGCCAGTTGCAAAGCACTTCTCAATATCAACTTTGATGGAACTGTCCCTGTATGCGAGGCTCAGGGCAAAGTGCTGCCCACATATCTCATGTATCCCCCACAGAAGTTCAGGGGGAAGGGTTTCTTCATCTTCATTTTATAAATGAAGGGCCTGAGGCTCCAGGAAGCAAGATAACTGCTCAGAGTCTCACAGCCACTGAAATGACGGGCAGTCTGTGTCTAAAACAACACTGCCCAGCTGCCACTTTATGACTCATTTATTCCGTAGTTGTTTATCAAGCACCTACTATGCATCAGAGGTGCTGGAGAGACGGCTGTGAACCGACAAATGAAGCCCACACCCTTATGGAGCTGACCTCCCGAGTGGGGGTCCTCTGGAGAAAAATTACCTTGGAGATGTGTCCTTTGGTACTTTTAGAGAAAAACCAGCCTGCCTTTCTTCACGCCCCCTTCCCACTGCTTGCTCTTGGTCTCTGCAGCTCCCCAGAGCCCTCAAAGTCTCCCCATAGGGAGATGATGACTGAAGGTCCAAAGTCTCTCGGTCTGTGTGTGCCTCATACCCTGTGTTCATGCCTGGTCTTTCCCAGCCTCAGGCCCTGGAGTTTCTCCTGCAGCCTTCCTCCTCCACCGGAACGGCAGAGCAGGCACCAGCCCGTGGCTGTTTGCTATGGAGGACCCCCATCTCCATCCTGGCACATCTTGTTGGGCCACTTGACAGACTCATGTCAGCCTAACAAGGGGGCTCTGAGCCCGTGGCCACCCTGCTCCCAGCCCTGTCACCTCCACGTGGCCTTGTGCCTGTTTTTCTGTGTATCTCCCTACACAAAGAGCCCGGGTGCTGTGGCTGGCACTCAGCTACTGGGGTGGGGAGGGCGGGTGGTGGTGAAAAGCTTTTCAGAAAGGCTTGGGTGGAGGCAGGAGCCACCCAGGTAATGGGAGTTGGTCTCCTGGGACCCCGGCCCAGGACCACAGTGAAAGGTTACTGTTAATTGGCGGGCTCCTGATGGGGCTGCATCTATTTAGCACTCCCCCCTCCCCAGAGACTTCCAGGATAGTCTTGGCACAGTGTGTGATTCGAGAGTTCCCCGCCCGAGTCTGGCACAATCTGTCTGGAATTGTGAACATGGAGCCTCTTGGTTTTTTTTAATTTGTACTTGCGTTGTTGTGGTTCTCTGTCCATTGTTTCCGGTAGATTTAGTGGTGGCTCTGGTACCCCTTCCCCAGATGCTCTGGCTCCGTCCCCTCCCCAGCCCCCAGCCCCGCCATTGGAGGTCAGGCAGGGCCATGCAGGGTGCATGGTCTCTGCCCCTGATCCATGGCCAGGCCTTAGGGCCCAGCCCTCACCCGCCATCAACCCTGACACTAACCCGGTTTGTCCACACTGTCGCAGGGGGCAGATGGCCTGTCGGAGCCCGAGGGCATCTCTCTGAAGCGGGTCGCTGTGGTGGAAGATTTCTTTGACATCATCTACTCAATGCACGTGGAGAGCTCCTCGGAGCCAGGCAAAGCCCCCAAGCACGCTGGGCAGAAGAAAACCTACCGAGCGGTGAGATTTCTGTCTCTGCCTCCGCTGGCAGCCCCAGGCCTTGGCAGGCGGCCATGGGCTCTGCACATGCTGGGAGGGGTGGGGGCTGGGGGGACAGGGCGGGGAGCTGAGGCATGATAAAGCAGCCTTTGGGGACCCAGGGGGGCACGGGGTAAGGGCATGGCAGCCAGAGATGGCTCAGGGGGCAAGGGGCAGGCTCTGCAGTGGGTTGGAGCACAAAGAAGCAGGTAGAAGGGAGCGAGAGGGAGGGAAGGAGAAGGAAGGGAGAGAGACAGGGCGGGGAGGACACCCTCCTCTTCCCAGTTTCCGCTTCACTTGTCCCCAACCTCAGTCCCTTATAGCCCACTGGTGGAGGGGAGCAGATAATAAGAATTATAGGAACCCATGGTTTCCATGTTTCCCATAGTGTATGTTACATGCCAGCTAGGCCTGTGAGCTTATCCGGTTCCCCCTCAGCTCTGTGCAGTCAGTGCTGGCACTTCCCCAGGGGATATCTGAAGACCTGCACCCCACTCTCTAGGAGGTCACAATTGGGTTTGGGACCTGGAGGCTGAGGACCAAAGCAAGACATACAAACACAGACTTTTATCCAAGGCCAGCTTTGAGAGAGTAAGAACTAGGTACTTGTGGTACTCAGCAGAGGTACTGCCAGCCTGAGTGTTCAGGGCTAGCCTTGGGGGGCTTCATAGAGAAGGTGGCATGTACACTGGCCTTCTAAGCTTCAGGTGAGCAGGAGGGAGCAGAGACTGACATCCAGGGTGGGAAACATCACGCATGGGGAAGGTGGAGGACAAGGGGACCATGATCAGAGCAGATGACCCAACTCTGCCCTGCAGGAGGGGCCTGCTGTGTTGAATATCCCCACCCCACCCCATCAGCCCCTATGGCTGAGCCTGTCACGGTGGTTCATGCTCAGCTCTGGACCCTCAAGGCCAGGCATTTTATGCTCAGCCAAGCCTAACAGCCATCATGTGGCAGAGTCACCATGGTCCCATTTCTCAGTTAAGGAAACAGAGCCAGAGACCTAGCCACCTGTCCAAGGTCACACAGCACCTGAGCAGCAGTCAGCCAGTGTCTTCACACTCCCTCCATGTTGGCATTCTCTCCAGAATGAGCTCTGCCCTTCCGTGGGCTTAGGTGGGTTCACTACCTAAGGCAGATATGAACCCCCCAGCCCAGCCCCAATTTCTGTATGTAGGACAGCCCTGGGCTGAAGCAAAGGCGGCCTGTGTAAGCCTATGATTTCCCTATATGGCCTGATTCTTAAAGAATCCAACAATCTAGTTGTCTTTGTCATCAGATGATGGGCTTTGCCCTGAATGAGTGTTAAGAATGGATCCCCTGCCAGAGGCCTCAGAAAGGCAAGGAGCTGTTCTGAGGTGACCTTGCCTCTGTCCCTCCTGCCACTCAGTGTGTATCCTTCAGGAAGTGTGTATCCTTGGGAAGGAGCCTGGAGTATTCCACCCAAGGGCCAGGGAAGAAGGGAAGGCCCCTTGGGACTGACAAGACCCAGCCAATTATCCAGCAGTAAGCCTCCCATGGTGCTGGGCACTCAACATGTGTCAGGCTCTGCCCTCAGCACTTCACGCCCACTGTGCTAAGCCTCACCCAGGCAGAGGCTGCACAGGGAAAGCAAGCTGCTGTTGGCCCCATTCTGTTAAATGAGATAGAGGCTGAGAGACAACCTGCCTGAGGTCACTAGGCTACGTTGAGAGGTAGGCAGTTGACCAGTGTACATTGTCCCTAGCTACAAACCTCATATGGTCAGCTAGTGAGCCTGGCCACTTGCTGGCATTTAGGCAGATGGGCTTGGGCTAGTTGGACCACATTTCCCTGGCCCCTCAGTGCCCAGCACCAAGCCTCACCCACAGGCTGCCCTTGGTTAGGGTCTATGGCTTCCATGCCATGGAGAGGGCAGGGCAGGGCTGGACTGGTACTGGGCTTGCGTCCCTGGGCCAAGCGGACATCCACCTCTTTGCTCTGCACTTCCTGGCTTCTTGTCCATATGCCTGCCGCGTGCCCCACTTCCTGCTGCCCGGCCTGGAGCTGGCACATGACTGGCATGGAGCCAGCTGGGCTGTGCGCAGAGCTGGAATTTCAGCAGCAGGGCCAAGGCTGAGCTGAGCAGGCCAGGGCCCTCCCACAGAGGGTGTGAGGCCGAGGAGGCTGGCGCCTTCCCTCTTCCCTGTGTGCCTTCTCCCCATCTGTCACTCTTCTCATGCCACCCTTTTCCTTTTTGGGGGGCAGGGGTGGTGCCTGGATGCTTTTGTCTCCCTCTTTTCATCTGCTCCCATTTTCTTCCACTGAGGCCAAGCTCCTCAGCCTCACACTGTAGACACAAGGTCCCTATCCATGCCTGTAGAAAGAACCCCAATAAAAACCCATGCTGATGGCTGCAGAGAGGCACAGGCTGGCACCACAGGGGTTGCATCAAGCCGTTGACTGAGGAGGTTTTGGATCTGTCCCTGTGTGTTTTGCTGAAGCTGAATCCTAGGACTGCCTCATAGTCCCTGGGGCACAGGGGCTGTTCAGGATTCTTTCAGGCATGGGTGCCTGTAGGCATCAGGGCTAGGGAGCTGAGCAGATTTGATTTGTTTAGGGCATGCAAGGAGGTCAGTTCTACACTGGGGAAAAGAACTTTCTAGTACCTACTGCTGTCCAGCAATGGATCAAAAAGGGCATGTAATGAGCTTTCAAAGCCTGGAGATACGTGAATCAGGACTGGATGACCATTTACATCAAACAATGCAGGAAGGTCTTATTTGGAGCAGGAAGCCCTGCCTTAGGATCCCAGGGTCTCACTGGTGCCAAGTCTGGGAAAGGTTTCAAGTGGTCTTCCAAAGTTCACTGAACTTACAGAGGACTGGTCCCTTTCTGAGGGGCTTTCCTGCTTTTCTCATCTCTGCACCTGAGTTGGAGTGGCCCTGGTGGCTCCTATTTCTTTCCCAGGGTGCTGGGAGGCCAGGTCAGCTTCCAGAGCCTGGATCTGGCTACCCAGACCACTTTGGAGTTGGAGCCAGATGTGGCCAGCAGCTGCTCCAGGCCCACTGCGTGCTAATCCACCCACTGGGCAGAAGGAGGATCTTGTAAAGTGGTGCAAATCCCCCAATTGGCCTCATCTGTCTTTGTCGGCCTCTGAGTTGGGGAGTGAAAATGGGGCCTTGCAAGTCAGCGACTCTGCAAATAGCTCCCGCTCTCCCTGCCAGTGAAATCTCTCAGCTTTTACCACTAAGAAAAACGGAAAAGGCAAATTCACAAATGTGTCTTAGGCAGAAGGACCAGAGAGAGCAAGGGAGCAGGCAGTCCAGGGGTGCTGATGGCACCCAGTGGGGGACAGGGTTCTTAGAGTGTCCCCTCTGTAAAAGCAGCAGCTCCATCTTTATCTGTTTTGTGCTTTGGGCTTCAGCACGGAAGTCTATTTCTAGAACAGGGTCTGTAGCTCTGAAACCATCTGAAAACCACCATCCTTTCTTGGTTTTCTTTAGTTCTTGGTTCTGCAGCCTGGGGCACCCATGCCCTCAAACAGAAATAGAGGCCCCATTTCTAGTCCTGGGCAAGCCAGAAAGGTGAACCAAAAGATGCTGCTTTTGGTCAGGGGTGGGGCAGTGCATTCTCCTCCATACGGGTCCCTGTGCAGCTCTGCCCTCCATGCCTTACTGATTCTCCCTGGGAGCTCGAAGGGAGACTATGGGCATTCCAGCTGCACAGGCAGATCACCGCCCCCCGGCGCTCCAACGGCTCCAAGGACTCGTTACCTCTTTCATCCCTCTGTGAGACCTAGGGCCAGAAGGTGTGTGCCTAGCACTCCGCCTCCCTAAGGCATACCAGCCAGCCCTGGTCCGCTGCTGGAGGTTTGCTAAGGCCGGGAGCACTGTGGCCACCCTCCCACTCTGGAGTATTGTGCTTTGTGCAAGCCACTGTTGTCCTATGTGCATGCCAGGGCGCGGCCTTCCTTGAACCCTTTAAAAATTATCTCTGCCCAGTGGTGGGAGAAGGAGAGAGAGCCAGCTTGTGTGGAGGCAGGAGGGCTGCTCCTCTGGCGTTGTCCTCACCCTCCTTTACCCAGCTGACTGTGCATCCTCCTCCCCAAGTCTTCTCAGCTCTGCTGATGCCTGCGCTATGTCTCAGGGGAGTCCAGGGGATCCTCTGTTGACCCCTTCCCTCTTGCTTGGTTGTTCCTGCAGCTACCAGCCCTTCTGCCCAGCCCATCCTTCCCAGCCCAGCAGCCCTAGAATGTAATGATGGAATGCATATGCCTAGCAGAAAAGCCCTTGGTCCTCACACCCCCGGGAGGGCCAGCGGCACCCCCTCATTGTGGCTCTTCCACCCACAGGCTCCAGTCAGTGACACTGGGGTTCACCCTTGTCCCTGACCTCCAGGGGAAGGCAATCAGACAGGGGATTTGGAAGGGAGATAACTCATCAAGGAGCCTGCCTGCTCCGCAGAGCATCAAATCAGCTGAGAAATAACAACTGTGTCACCAAAATTAACTTGTATTTGCAGCCGGCAGGGGTGGCCCTGGAACTCCCGAGGCAGGGGCTGAACTGGGAGCCTGGGTTCCTCTTGGCTGGTTTGCCTGGGCCTGGCCTTCTGCTTCATCTCTCCCCTCTCTCTATCCCCCATCTTCCTGCTGTCTCCCATACCCAGCCACCACAGGGATGGAATCAGGCATCCACGTGCCCCCATAGGAGCAGAATGTGTGCTGCCCACAACCACGTCGGGGCCCTGCGCTGTCCACAGTGGCCCCCATGCCCACCCTCTGCGCCAGCCCTCAGCCAACTTTCCCTGCTGGGTTGGATGAGGGCAGGGAATGCTTGGGTGATGCTGCCCCTTAGTGGAGAGGAAAGGGAAGACCTGGGCTCTAGAAGCACATGTGAAAACACCCAGCTAGTAAGCATGAGGAAGCTGGCACAGTGGGGACCCTCTGGCTCCCACAGGCAATCAAACAAAGGCCAGGAGGCTTCCCCAAACCCAGAACTAGAGGAGAGAGCTGGACTTCTGGACCTAAAGCCATTCTTCCATCCCCGCCATATTCTCATATCCTCTCCCTCCTACTTCCTCCTCCCCTCCCTTTCAACTTCCCCCTGGCTGTGAGGTAGTGTGACCTGGAACACTGCTTCTAAAGAGCTATGTGACTTTGGTGAGTTGGTTCACCTCTCTGGGCCTTAGTCACTGGGAACATGAGGGTCCCTAAGAGCCTCTCCTGTGGGAAGTCTGGTGCCCCCTGTACCCCCCACACCACCCTGTCACAGTCCTCCCTAAATATGTCCTTACCTGTGAGTTATCACAGGAAATGGTTCACAGAAGCGTGGATTCTGTTCCTAGAGGTAGGATAGTGGTACAGGTCTGTAATCCCAGCTACTAGGGAGGCAGAGCTCAGGAGGATTGTGGCTCCTGACTGGCCCTGGGCAAAAGCATGAGACCCTATCTGAAAAATAAATTAAAGCAAAAAGATCTGGAGGCATGGCTGAAGTGGGAAAGTGCCTGCCTAAGCAAGTGTGAGGCCCTGAGTTCAAATCCCAGTAGCACTAAAAAAAAAAGAACAACTAAATTCTGTTCCTAGGCCCAAAGGTGGTGAATTTATAAGTGGGTCTTAATTTATCATCCCTCAGAGGAGAAGTTTTTCCAGGTATAGTGATACAAACCTGTAGTCCCAGCTACCAGGGAGGCAGAAGTAGGAGGATCATAAATTCAAGACCAGCTTGGACAAAGTTAGTGAGACTCTATTTCAAAGACAAAAAAAAAAAAATCAAAAGGGATGTTCTGAGAAGAATTACTTATAGACCAGATAAAGTTTTGCTTTGTTTTTTAATTTTTTTTTTCCTTTTTGTTGGAACTGGGGTCTGAATTCAGGATCCTGTGCTTGCTAGGCAGGCACTCTACCACTTGACCCAAGCCTCGGTCTTTTTTGCTTTAGTTATTTTCCAGATGGGGTCTTGCATTCTTGCCTAGGGCCAGCGTCAGACTCTAATCCTCCTACCTACACCTCCTGCAGAGCTGGGCTTATAGATATATACTGTCACATAGTACTTTTTGTTGAGATGGGGTCTTGATAACTTTTTGTTTGAGCTGGCATCAAACCTCCATCCTTCCAGTCTCTGCCTCCCAAGTACCTGGGATTACAGGCTTGTACCACGATGCCTAGTGCTTTTTCAATTTTTAAGCTCTTTTTAAAAAAACAAATGTAGTTTTCCACAAAAGTACTGGCTCATTTTCATAGCTAAGAATAGAGGATGTCAGTCCCTTACTCCACAGAGCCCTGCCTTTCCTGCCAAGGGTCAAAGCAACTGCCACCAGAGTCCAGACCTTGGTGACCCAGTGGCCAAGTTACCCACATGGCGCCACATGACAGGCAAACTCATTTCTCCGCAGATCGCAGAGACCTACGCCTTCCTCCCCAGAGAGGCCGTGACCCGCTTCCTGATGAGCTGCACGGAATGTCAGAAGAGGATGCACTTCAATTCCAACGGCCTGGAGCCCAAAGGTAGGGAGCAGGTACACAGTAGAGTTTAGGCCAGTATGGAGCAGGGAGCAGCCCCTCCTGTGGAGGCTGGTCTTTGCCTGGCACCAGTGCAAGAAAGTGCAGGTGTGGCAGTTGTCACATTCCCAGGGGCCAGCATGGAGTGGTGGGCTGTCCAGAAGGCTTTGGTTTTGTTGGTTTTTTTGTTTTGTTTTGTTTTTTTCTGTACTGCAGTTTGAACTCAGGGCTCTGAGCTTGCTAGGCAGGTGCTCTACCACTTGAGCCATGCCAACAGCCCTTTTTAACTTTTTTTTAAATGTTAAGTTTCAATTAAAAGCCAATAACTCATTCATCCGCCCTTTAAGGTCCAGGTCCAGCTTTCTTCTCCCACCCAGATTCCACTGCTCATTCTGGAATGGCTTCCCTGCTCATTCTGTAGGCTTCATCATTCTGGCCACCCAGGTCTCACTCTTGGCTGCTTCTGCACAAAACTGTACATGGGTCTGGCTGCAAGTCTCCAAGGACAGGTGCACACCCCTTGATATGTGCAGCGTCCTACCCTTTGGTCCACACCACCAGGACAGGGCCCTCCCTAGTGTCTGTTCCCTCTTTGTGCACACCATGTGGTCTAGTGAGACCTAGTGAGATCTAGTGAGACTGATTAGAATTTAAAATTGGGACCAGCTGAAGTTGGTTCCTTGGACCAACGTCCATGCTCACCTGCTCTATCCTGTCCTGTGAGACCAGCAAGGACCCTAGCACTCCACTCCCCTTAGAGCCTCAGCCTGAGCAGCTCATCAGGGGCCTGTCTGCCTGCAGGTGACTTTGGCTCAGAGAGGTGGGCACCATATTTGGTTGGTATGACTATTGTTCTGTCCTGAAAGATGGTGGCCAGATGGGTCATTATCAAGGTTTTGGGCCTGCCCAGAGTGCTGTGCCAGCCCCTGTGCCAGCAAGGGATGCTGACACCTAGGGGAGGGAGGTTTCCAGCAGATGAGAACAGAGTGGGAATAGAGGGTGAGCCCTTTATCCAGATGCAGCTCGGGCGGCAACCACCCAAGGGGGAGGTATCTACTACACAGCTCAACCCGATGACAACCAAGAACCAGGGTATCTGGTGGCCTTTCCCTGACTCACATGAGCAGCTTCTGAGAACAGGTGACTCATGAAATCCAGAACTTTGCTCTCCTGGGAGCCACTCGACCACTGCTGCCTCACCAGAGTCCATGGGACAGCTTCTGAACCACAAGGGGCAAGGATCTCCTCAGAGCTGGTTCCAGAGTTGAGGCCCCGGGCTCCAGGGGCCTCACCATAGAAGATAGGTCACAGCTCAGCTGCTGTGTGTCCTGGGCCTCTCAGAGACTGTTTTTCTTCATGAAATGAAGTTAATAATGGTCCCCACTCAGAGAGCCAATGAGGTCTGTGAGGTTTTCCCTGTGCCTGGCACGGGACTCCCATCTGGGAAGTAAGTGTGGCTATGGCTGTCATAGTCACTGTGAGGTGGATGCCTGAGTGACTCTGAGTCACACTGGCCTGCATGGCCTTAGGGCCAAGATAGCCTTTGGAGCCTGCAGATGGACCAGGAGGGCCTGGATCCTGCCCACCCATCTGCATGTCCCCTCCCATTCTTGTCCTAATTGTTTCCATAGCAACTGGCGGAGTCAGACACAGAACTGCTACTGGAGGAGCCAAGATTCAGCTGCCCTAGGGGAGCTTCGGCTCCATTTAAGCCCTCCCCGCTAGGTTTCCTGTAGCATGGAGAGTGCCCCTCACCTCCCCCAGCTCCTCGCTGAAGGCTGCAAGGTCCCTGGGCTGTGTGCTCCTCCTCTGCTGTGGGCTGCTGTGCAGCCAGGAGGGTAATGCCTGAACACCCTGCATCCTCTGCTTGCTGGCTGCCACCACCCTGTCCCTCCACCTCTTGGAGAAGCTGAGGAGGAGAAGGGAGCACATGGCCAGGAACTGCCTAAATACAAACCAGCAGTGGGCTCTGTGCTGAGCCTCTTTCTTGGTGCTCACTCCTGGCAGGACAGAGGAAGGTGCCTGCCCATCCTCAGGGTGACACCACTTCTCAGCCCCAGGTAACAGACTTTCTCAGTGCAGGGAGAGGACCAGGGAGTAGGAGACAGTGTAGCCCATGGAGGAGTTTGGGCCCCAGGTCAGGCAGGCCTGGGTGTGGCAGCCCTGTTCCCGGCTGTGTTCCTCAGCAGATGAGGAAACCTCTCGGAGCATCTCCTGCTCATAACAGCTACCATAGGGCAGCAAGGCTTAGGAAGATGCTGGGTGAAATCACTCATTCAGGTTCTCCTAGGAGGGAAAAGAGAAGACAAAAGAAATTTCTCATTGGCAAAGTGGAAGTAACCTCCTCTTCTCAGAGCTATGAGGGTGTAGGTGAATCAAGGAGCCTACTATGCAGGCTACCTAGGGATCCTAGGGAACATCGGCCCATCTGCTGTCTGTGTTGTTGTGTCACGGTGCCCAGACCTAAGTGGCCAGTCATTACCAAGGTGGGGTCAGTAATGTGTTCCCGCCCATTCAGATGAGCATGCAGGGCCCACATGATGGACACAGAGTAGAAACCTCTTGTGTAATTTCTGGAAGCTGCCAGTGGAGAGCTTTATTTTTCTATTTTTTGATGGGACTGGGGTTTGAACTCAAGGCTTTACAGCTTCATGCACTCTATCACTTGAGCCATACCTCCAGTCCATTTTAACTCTGGTTATTTTGGAGCTGGGAGGATCTCTTGAACTCTTTGCCCAGGCTGACCTTGAACCGCAATCCTCCCAATCTTAGCCTCCCAAGTAGCTAGGATTATAGGCGTGAGCCACCAGTGCAGAGCTGTTCAAGTCTGAAAGGTTCCCATGTCTGTTCAGTGGCCAGAGACATCAGCCCCTAGACCCTCCTTGCCAGCTGGCATGTCCTCCTGCCTCTTTCTTCCGTGGCAGGAGCCTGGTGGTCTGATCTCTGTCCACCGTATTGGCCTGTGGATGCCCCTACAGTCCTCCCTCCTCCCTGGCCTGGAGGCAGTTCTCTTAATCCTGTCCCAAGAAGGTGGGGAGGGAGGGGGACAGGGCACAGGATAGAATCCTCCAGGGCTTCTGGGAGAATGCTATGCTTCCTGGCCTCATACTGAAAAGAAAGAGAAAAAGCAGAGCAGCCCCTCAACAGCTTGTTCCCAGCAGTGTGGGGCCTGGACAGCCCTGTGCCCTTCCCCAGCACTGAGCATAAACAAAGGAGGCTGTAGCGGATCTGGAAGTCCTAGGATGGGAAATTCCAGGACCTCCCTCCTCCTCACTCTTCTTCCACCAGCCCCTGAATGAGTCCAGGCTGGAAAGAGGACAGAGAATGAGAACCGGGTGTGCCCTCAGACAGGCCGGCTCCTGGGAAGAGGGACCTTTGAGGGCACATTTCTGTTTTCCCTCATGTGACTGTGTATTGTTGTCAGGTTGCAAAGGCTGAGTTGGCAATGGACTACAGTGGTTATACTTCCTCACAGAACAAGCTGATCCCTAGGGGCAGCTCCTCATGGCTCTCAAGGTTCTCCATCCCTGGCCTGTCCAGATCCTTCCTTCCTGGGCTTCCCACCATGGCCCCATTCTAGCCCATTCTTCAGCTTGACAGTCCCCATTCTCATACACTGTGTGGCTATGGGAAGTTGCTTAGCCTCTCTGTGTGGGGTTGTCTCCTCTGCAGGATGGGGTTATTGTACCAGCACCCACCTCCTGGGGTGCTTGAGAGCATTAAGCAAGATAGTCTCATGGAGCACTTAGCAAATGCTCAGTAGCTCTTAGCTTAGAGATCGAACCTGGGTCCTTTGGATCCTCTTTGCAAAGCTTCCTGGAGCCACTCCAGGGCCTCTTAGCTCTTCTTCTGAACACTAATGGACTCCTACCAGTTCCACCCTACTCATCCCTCACTGGTTTCCAGAGCCCAGGGACTGTACCATGCATGGTCTCCCCTCCTTCCTCCCTTCGTGCAGTGCTCCTCAAGGAAGACTGGCCCATCCACAGTTCCCTTCTGAGCCACCCCAGGCCTGGGATCCCTTCCAAGTGTCGTGCCAGGCCCACCTCATGCATGCTGTCCTTGGATGTTCAGCCCTGCCTGGGCAATCTTGCACATCCTAACCACTGGCACCAGCAGTTTCTGCCATCATTGGACTGAGGTACGCCTCCATTCTCTAGGTGAAAACTCATGAGGATTGCCACTTCATGTTCCACCTGGACAACAGGAGGTCCACTCAATCAGCTGGAACATGTGCTGATTGATAGGTGCCATAGGCACTCACTGTGGAGGTCAGCAGTTGGCTTGGCCTGGCTATTGTCAAGGCCACGGGCTGGCTTCAGCTTTGCTCAGCAAGTTGCTGTTGAAACATTTCTCAAGGCACTTCTGCCTCTCCCACAGCAGCCTGACTCCTAATTCACCCCTCTCCATGGCAATAGTGTCCAATGGCGCCATGGCATCAGGGTATTTGCAGGGACTCAGGCGTGGCCACTCCATGTGTTGCCACAGCAAGGTGGCCCGTCTCAGCAAAGCCTAGTCAACCTTCCTCTTTTAGCACTTCCACCTTAGTTCAGTCTGTCCTGACATTTATTTCACCTGTGAGCATCTCACTCGGGCTCTGCTGCCCCAACCCCATTCTCTTTCCCACTGACCTATCCTTGTTTGTGCTTCTGCTCTTCATGTCCAGAGCTTGGGGCTCCCCGCTGCCAAAAACCCTGTGTGTCTTTCTTCTTACAGTGTGGTAAACAAGCTTTGGCCTCCCACTGCCAGCTCCATGACTCATTTCCTCACCTGGGATATCCCCTGCCTGCCAAGGCACTGCTTCCCCAGCAGGACTCTTGCTCAGGAAACGAGCACTTCGCCACACACCAGTAGCAGGTGTTCTCTGATGGATCTGTGTGTTTGTTCAGGTTGTCCTAGCTTCCCTACCTCCACATGTCCTGCCTGCCTCTTCCTTAGCACTACTGGCTTATCTCTATCCCTGGAAGCAGATTCTCTTCTGTGGAGATGCTAGGAAGGGGACAGACCAAGGAAGACCCCCTCCTCCAGCCTTCCAAGAGCACTGTCCTGGCCATTGTTTTAATTTTTTTTCTTAAGCCACATTGTCACTGGCTTTATTACCATTCTCTGATAGACAACTGTGGCATTTCAGGAAGGACGTGGTGACCATCAGGGAAGGAGCATAACTCCTGCCTCTGTGGACAACCAATTGCAGAGTCACTCTACCACCAGGGCCATTCTAGGGTGGGTGACCTTTCACAAGTGCCATCATTTAGCAACTTCTCACCAGACAGTGAAATGGAAGCTGTACTTCCATCTGAAGGTCCATGATCTGCAGACAGGAACCATGCTCCTTCCAGTGACCCCATCTTAATGTTGTCCCTGGAATGTCTGCCTGGCGTATGGCCTCCAACCCAATTGATCTTGGGGGGCCAGTGCCTAAAAGCCCCATGAGGCTAAGGAAGTCAAGTCTAGGTTGATGGCAGTGTAGTAAGGAAAAGAGGGGCACAAAAGTGTGTCTTGTTTTTCCTACATGCCAGGTACCTGTGCCTTGGGGCCTCCCAACCCTGATCCAGAAGGGATGCTCTTTAAGAGGAGTGGGGGGCTGGTGGAATGACTCAAGTAGTAAAGTGCCTGGCTAGCAAGTGTGAGGCCCTGAATAAACCCCAATAACACCAAAAAAAAAAAAAAAAAAAAAGGAGTGGAGAAGAGCCCTGTGTGGTGGGCACCTTCTGTAATCCTAGCACTCAGCAGATTGAGGCAGTAGAATCACAAGTTCAATGTCAGCCTGAACTACATAGTGAGACTCTGCTTCAAAAAAATTTAAAAATTTTAAAAAAGAAGAGGGCCGAGGAGGGTGGTCTATTTCAAGCCAGTTTCCAAGACATTGTATTAGTCACATTTGCCTCTTTCCTCAAAGGACAAAAATGAAACATTCTCTGTGACAACATAGTTTTAAAAACCAAGATACAATTCTTCATTTTTTTTGTGGGCCTGGGATTTGAACTCAGGACTTCACACTTGTAAAGCAAGCACTCTACCACCTGAGCCACACCTCCAGTCTATTTTTTTTTGGTTATTTTGGAGATGAACTGTTTGCCAGGACTGGCCTTGAACTTCACTTCTCCCAATCTCATCCTCCCAAGTAGCTAGGATTACAGGCGTGAGCCATCACCATCTGGCAAAGCTGTGCATTTCTATAAAACTTGAAAAAAAAAAAAACCAAATTTGATGTGCACAGCCCCAGTCCCACATGGAGCCTGAGTCCTCAGGGCCCAGTGTGGCCTGGAGCTGTTGTCTGCAGGGCTGTTCCTACCTTGGGCGTGCAGTATCTCCCGTCTCCTCTCATCCTCTGTGTGTAAGCCTGCCCCCCTGTTTGCAGAGGCCTTTTCTTCTTTTTAATTCTGGAAAAATATAACAAAATTTGCCATTTTCATGATGTTTAATTGCACTTTTTTTTGTACTGAGGTTTGAACTCAGGTCCTATACCTTGAGCCACTCCACCAGACCTTTTATTTGAGTTGGTTTTTTAAGAGATAGGGTCTCTGGAACTGTTTGCCCTGGCTGGCTTTGAACCACGATCCTTCTGATCTCTGCCTCCTGAGTAGCTAGAATTACAGGCGTGAGCCACTGGCACTTGGCTTAATTGTACTATTTATAAGACATGAATTCTGTTCCCTCTGCTGAGCAACTAATCACCTATTTCCAGAGCCTTTTCATCACCCTAAACAGAAACTGAACTCTTTAAGCAGTAACTCCTGCCTCCAACTCCTGGTAACCTCTATTCTTTCTGCCTATGAACTTATTTGTTCTAGCTGTTTCATACAAATGGAATCATACAGTACTTGTCCTTTGGCATCTGGCTTTCCTGGGTGTGGTGTTTTCATGGTTGCAGGGATCTTTTGGGGCCGGGGCTGGCTGTGGAAGGGATAGCCTCTGCCTTGCCCCATCTTGCCCTGGCACCTGCCCCCCCCTTCAGCATGTCTCTTGGGCATAGGGATGATGGAGGAGGGAAGGCTTTGGCCAAGTTGGGAAGTTGCTCCCACTTCTCACTCTACTCAGATCTCAACCTATCGATGGAACAGGGGTATCTTTTGATTAAAGGCCTGGGGTGTAATGACCCTGGCCTGAAGTCCTTGGAGGTAGAAGAAAGCCCACAGGGTAAATAAGACTGCCCTGGGCCTTAACCAGGGATTTCCTAACTTCTGATCCAGTTTTTGGAATCAGTCATATAAAAGATCAGAAATATTTGTGTACAGAGATGTTCCCTGCAATTTTTTTTTTAAATCATTTTTACATTTACTCACGTGTATACATTGTTTGGGCCACCTCCCCTCCTCCACCCCGATACTGTTGTTGTTTATAAGAGCTCCAATGGAAAATAACCTAAACAGCTAATCATAAAAGGGAATGACTTAAGTAAATTATGGAAAAATTTAAGTAAAATATGGAAAATTACACAGCTATGAAAATTATGTTTACAAACCAAAACAAGAGTTGTGTTGGCTGCCAGGTGCTGGTGGCTCACACCTGTAATCCTAGGCACTTAGGAGGGTGAGACTGAGAGGCTTGAGGTTTGAGGCCAGCCTGAGCAAATAGTTTGTGAGGCCACATCTCTAAAATAACTGGAGTGAAATGTACTGGAGGAGTGGCTCAAGTGGTAGAACGCCTGCTTTAAACCCCAGTCCCACCAAAAAAAAGAATTGTGTTGGTGAGGAAAATACCTATGTTAAGAAAAAAAACACTTAAAAAAAAAGTAGACTATAATTCTCAATATGCAGTATGATATCGAGTATGTAAAGAAGAAAAATCACAGAGAAAAAAAGACGCACATGCCAACCTTCTTGGTGCAATTATGGTTTCTTAAATTTTTCTTCACATCTTTCTGCACTTTGCAGATTCTCTACAAAAAGAACGTGCATTGCTTTGATCTTCAGGACAGCGAGACAAAAAACAGGAGGAACTAGGCTGCTTGGCCTGTGATTGAGGAGAACCAGTGTTTGGGAGGGTGGCAGGCAATGGAGGCCTGGCTCAGGCCTGGAAGCCATATGGTACCTGAGGGTGCCTTGAGAGGATGCTGTGGGGCCAGGGCTGGGGTGGGGTGGTGGCAAGTGTTCATCAGGGAGAGTGTCGACTTAGACCACGGTTGGAAACTTCAGTGCTTTGAGGGCCTGGCAAGCGTCCTAATTGAACAAAGGTGTGCTGTATGATAAGAAGTCAGGGCGGCCGGGCGGGGGGGGGGGGCGCTGGGGCAAAACAGAGCACACATCCTGCCTGAAGGAAGTAGTTGCTACCCAGCTGCATGGTTGCTGCCATGGGCACAGAGCTCCATGGAGCCAGACCTTCTGGCTTTCAAAGAAGCCAAATTTCACACTTTTAAACATGTGACATTTCTTAATAGACGCTGGCACTTAAGTGGCAAACATTTTCAACATCACGAAGCCTAACTTCTAAAGGCCAGATTTGGTGGGCAGGCCACCAGTCAGGGGCCTCCTCCACAGGCTCCCTATTGAATTTTCTACATGGGTGACAGCCCCCAGCCCAGACTGAAAGGGGTTTCCTTTTGTTTTTCCTGCCAGAAAACGAGCCTCCATCTCCTCTGGTCTCCGGGATCATTGATTACAACATGCCCCTCACCTCCACCTACTTGAAGCAGATGAAGCTGCGGGTGATGAATTCCCAGGAGCAGGTAAGACACCCATCCCCCCTTCCAGCACCTGGAGGTGGCTGGCCCAACCCTGGCTTTGGTTGAGTCTTTCCAAGACTGGGGACCCACAGCCTGGCAGCCTGTGTAAACAGCCAGGAAATCAAAGAGGCCCTTATCTGGTCATCTGGGCTGCGCAGTCAGGTGGAGAGGGGAGGAGAGTGAAGGAAAGAATGTGTTCCTCCTTGGAGGGTCTTCAGTGAAATCCTAGAAGCTCAGGCTTTGCAAAACTTTCCCCAAGGCCAGGCCAGGGAGGGAGCTGCAGACCTTGACTCTCAGGTCCTTCCCTCTCACACACTCTGCTCTGCCCTGCCCTTTGTCTGTTGCGTCACTCCTTTCCCCAGGGAGGTGAGAGAGAGGCCCTGGCCACCTGCCTGTAGCCTCTGTCACTCTTGGGGCCCAGACAGGCCAGGAGGATGGGCCTTGGAGGGTGGCCTGGGTTAGATAAGTCCTGAGGGTCCCCTGGATGTCCAAGACTCCCAGCTGTGGCTTGCCAAGGCTGTCAGGTACCATGGAAACAGGCTATGAAAAGAAAATCCCCCTGCCTGCCTTGTACACAGTCTACCTTCTAACCCCTCGAAGAGCAAGCAGCCAGACTCTTTCAAGGGCCTGGGTGAGGACCACTCCTCTCACTCTGCCAAGGCCTAGACCAGGGCAGTAATTTCTCACCTCCACCATCAAGTGCTCCCATCCTTGGTGACATTGGAACCTCCCAGGTCCTTGAGGCCTGTCTACAAGAATGGGCTATTTCTCCCCCATGGAAACACAGGTTAGAACTCATGTGACTTCCAGTCCCAGGTGCATGCTATCTTGCATTGCTGGTGTCCTTGGCAATGTGAGCATGCATGCACCAGGGGTGGGGGCTCATGGCAGCTCTGTGATGATGTAGCAGGAAGAGTTCAGGTCACACTGAGGCTGGCTGACTTGAGGCTGGAGCTGTGCACGCCTATGCCATGTCCAGTCCTTGGAGGCTGATCGATCAGCTTTGCTCCCAGAGGTGAACTGCTTGGGTCTGCTCCTTGCCCAAGTGGGCCTTTCCTGTGATGGTCGCTTGCAAAGTAACATTGAGGGATGAAATGGTGTTGGGCTTGGGCTTCCAACCCCAAAGTCCATATTGTTCTGCTATGGGGACGTCAGTAACTGGGGCATCGATCTTGTTCATAGTTATGAAATCTCAACCCTACTGAACACATCTCCTCCTCCAGCCACAGAGGAGGAATTGTGGCCTTTCTTTTCCTATAACCGTCCACTCTGTCACTTCTCAGATGCTCTTGTCACTGTGCGCATTTGTTGCCGTGATCAATGAGGCACAGGCTGTTGAGCCAGATCAGGGTGGCACAGCTGTGATCCTCCTTAGTGGGCTTTGTTGTGTTTGATGTTGTTTTAAAATCTTACCAAATTTTCACTTGCGTCCATGGCAGGAGCTCAGTTAGGTGGCCTTAACAGTGATTCAACCATTCACAAATGTGCACGGAGCCTTATTCTGTGAGCCAAACTGCAGCTTTCCAAGGTGTTCTGAGGACCCTGAAGAGACAGACACTATGCCTCAGCTCAGTTGAGAAAGCCATTGATTGATCAGGCACTGTGGCGCAAGTGTGTGCAGGTCTGAGCGACACGAGGGTGGGTGTCAGGCATCAGGGAAGACTTGCTATAGAAAGGGATGCTTCAGCAGAGACATGGATCTGAAAGGAAGAAAGTAAGGCTGAGGGAACAGTTTGTGCAAAGGCCCTGTGGCTCAAGGAAGAACAGGACCTAGAAGAGATTAGAGGCTGGGGCGGCTGGGCAGAGAATTTGAGGAGTTCCATGGCTGAGGGAAAAGGGACAACACACAGTGTTAGGCACATAAGCACTTGGCGAGCATCTGTAAGCAAACCGGAGTTCGTGAACCAAGTTCACGAAACCAGGTGGACATATTGTTCCAGCGGACAAGGTTCAAGCTACTCCCAAAGCAAGGGAGGATTGTGGGAAGGCATCGTCCCCAGGGGCTCTGGGAGTCTGGAGGAGGCTGCAGCTGAAGGTGGGGTGGGAGAGCAGCCAGCTTCTCCGGTGTGCTATGGGAAATCAAAGAACAGACCCTCCTCATACCTCATGGCAGGTGAAGCAGCATCTCGCCCTGCTGAGGGCCTTCCACCGACCAATCTCTACCTCCTCCCCCCTCCCACACACCCAGGAGCTCTCACGGCCTCAGCCTCTTAGGCATTGCCGTCGTCCCTGTCTTACGGCTAGCACATGGCAAAACAAGAAATCACACTTCTCGAGTGGTTATTTATCTACAGCAGCAAGGAGGGGCCAAGGACCAGAAGTCTTTGTTTCTTCAGCTTGAGTTGAAACTAAAAACACATATCCTTCAGCCCTGAGAGCCTCTTCAGGGCTCTCCTTGGGTGGGTAATATCCATTACCCAAAACCACCCTTGCCATAGTTCTGCCCCTGTCAAATCCCATGCCCCAAGACAAGCCTTTGAACGTGGCTTCATCCCATTACCCCGAATTCCAACAGAGGACACTATGCTCACTATTGCAAGCTACGTAAAAAGCAAAGCCAAGTCTAAAGGCAGGGGAACGGGGATGGCCGTGGCATTGCTAAACAAGGCTCCACGGGGAAAACCTTCAGAGGAGGAAAATCCAAGCAGTTCTTTTTTTATTTTTTGCCAGTGATTCTTTTCTCCCCCCTCTTTTGACATTGCATATATCCAGGTGTGGCAAGCAGAACATGTTACCACCTTGCTTTGATCAGACAGTGAGCAGGTGGTGGGGATTTTCTCCTGCGCTGGACTGAATCACCTTGCTTGTAGTCTGGTTGTAGTCAGATTAATATTCTGGAAGTGAGTCTTCTCCATAGAGGGTATTAAGTAATATGGAAATCCAGCAGCAGGGGCTGGACTATGGCTCAGTGGTAGAACACTTGTCTAGTAAGCACAAGGCCCTTGGTTCAATCCCCAGCACCTGAAAAAAATCCAGTAACAATAGTCATACAAAGAAAAAAGCTTCCTCTCAAAGTGTGATCCAATGTGCAAATGTTTTTAATGTCTTTGATGTGCAAGATGGTGGGGGTCATGCCTTCTACCTAACACATGACCCTAAGAGTTGTCATTGAAGTGGTGACAGTGAGCTGGGAATACTTCATGTGGCCACTGGTTTGGTTTTCTGCATCACTTGGTTTTCTTCTCTCTCTCTCTCACACACACACACGCACACACACACAAGTAGCATATGACCTCAGTAGAGGAATCAGTAGTCACAAAGCAAGAACACGCTCATAACAATCGGCATCACCTCACCACTGAGATCACGTGAACACTTGGGTGCCCCTCTTTCAGACGGCTGAATAGAAAGGGGATTGACCCGGTTTGTTTTTCTGCTGCTTTCCTCTGTTATACTGAGTCTCTTCACCCTCCAAGTGGTGCTGTTTCCATGTGTCAAATAAGCTTGTTATAAGGTGTGGTGATACACACCTGTATTCCCAGCTACTTGGGAGATGGAGGCAGGAGGATAGTGAGTTCAAGGCCGGCTTGAACAGAGTTAGCAAGACCCTGTTTCAAAAACAAAACAACAAGCCCGGTGTGGGTGGCTGACGCCTGTAATCCTAGCTACTCAGGAAGCAGACATCAGGGGGATTGAGGTTCAAAGCCAGCTGGGGCAAATAGTTCATGAGACCCTATCTCGAAAAAACCCTTTGCAAAAAAGTGCTGGTGGAGTGGCTCAAGGTGAAGGCCCTGAGTTCAAACCCCAGTATTGCAAAAAAAATTAAATAAAATAAACTGGTTTTATAGTACTTCTGTCATTCACTTATTCATTTATTAACACATTTATCCATCTACCCATCCATCCATCCATCCATCATTTGTTCATTCTGAGCCCCAGAGCCTAGGAGACAGTGGTGGGCAGGGACATGGCCTTACTGGCTCTGCTGCTCTGTGAGAGAGACAAAGAAAACCCAAATCGACTCTCTGAGGCCTGTAGGACCCCAGAGCTCAGAGGAGGAAGGGAAGAGGGAGCTAGCAGACAAGAGTGCTGGCTCAGGTGGAGGGCTTGCTAATCACACACCAGTTCCGTGTCTGGTGCATCGCATGCTTGACCCCCACTCTCGGGACTCTGCCGGGTTGCGTGATTGGCCTCATTTCACACAGCTTATATCTGAGGCTCAGAAAGGTTGAGCCCTGGCTCAAGGTCACCCAACCTCTAAAATAGAAACCCAGATGTTTTCCGTCCCCAGCTGGAGCATCTGTGTCCCCATGCTGGCTGGACAAGGAATTTGCAGCGGGCCGGGATGGTTAGCATAAGTTTCAGGCGAGGAGCCCCCACCGATTTGGAGGGGGATGACAGGCTTGGCAGACGCGCAGGTGGAGTTTAGAGAGAGTCAGTATAGGTTGAGGGCTTCATTTGGCTGGGACCTGGGAGCCACCTTTAATATGACGAAAATAAGGAATTAGGGAAAGGAACCTGGCAGGAGGCCTTGGGGCACCATCCCCACCTCATGAAGGCTTTACTGTCTGCAGGGGTACATATATAAGTTGCTGTCACGTCATCCTGATCTGTCCTGAAACTGTGTGTTTGAACCAAGACCCCACTGTAAAATCAGGTGTGGAAACAGAAGCAACTGCCTGCACTGCTCTCCCAGGACAGACTATACAGAAGCAGAGGCGCAGCCCCTGCCCTGCTCCCTTTGGTCGTCACACTCCCATCTCTGGGCACCTGCCTTCCCCTCCCTTCTCTCCTTCTCTCCGGTTCCTGGGCTAGCACTAATGTCTGCTAATGGTTTTAATGTTCTCACAGCAGCCGTGAAGTGGTGTGCAGCTCCATTGTTTCAGCCCACGTGCTGGAAGCTCTTTCCTGCCTCCATTAACCTCTGCCTCCCTCTCTTCTACCATGCTGTCCTGGCCCAGAGCTTTCCCTGAGCCTGGTAGGGGGAGGAGCAGACCTTTTTCCCTAAGGGCACATAACATATGGGACCTTCAGGCTCAGGTGAGGTCTTCAAATTATTGGCC